CACGATACACATTTTGAAAATAATTTCATTCCTACAAATTGCTAAAAACCAAACAAATAATTTTGGAGGATGTTTTCTTCTTAAGAAATTAATCAACTCTGTACACATACTTCCAACTGCTTGCCTGCTTGCATCTTCTTTCTTAACTTGTTTAACAATCCCGAAGTCGGTTTGTAATTTTTCTTTTTATACTTTTTTCTTTATTCCGTTCTGTTTAAAAAAAATTGTATTCATCTTTAAATAACAAACATTGGCACATTCATCTCATCTCAAAAATTATTTTTCTCCTATGTTGGAAATACACCCCATCCTCTTCCTGATCATGAACTTCCTGTTTAACTCTTCTTCCAGGGGTCAGTGCATCATTTTTAGGACTGCAGTTTCTGATATTTTGTGGAAATGACTGGCAGAGGCATGAATGAATGGATGTGCAAGAGGGCGTGGGGTTTGTTGTGTTTCGACAAGGAAAGAATTGAACATAGTAAGATCGACAGTTGTTGGTGGTTTGATCCTTGAGGGGTGGAACAGTTGGCAGCTGCTGGTAATTGCAATGTAGAGAGTTTCAATATGTTGATATCATCTTTAAAAAAATAAAGTCAATGGATGTGGAGTAAAGATGGCGATGTATGAAGTTATGTTGGTGGGTATGTCGTCGGTTTGGTCAGTGTAGCGAGGCCGTTAGTTGGTCCTTGTTAATTGATGGTACAACTCTGACCCCTCGTTTCATAATTTTGTAAAGAAAAGTTCGCTAATTTGTGTGACATTAAAATATAGCTAAATGATATTTATTGTGAAGATCGCAAGGCATAAAGACATTAATAAGTTCAGTCATTACGTTATTGCAATGGGACGCTCTGAAGAATGATGCAGATGCCCACCTGAACCTACCTTACCTACCTTCGACATGCTCAACTCGCGGAATGCGTGCCTATAATATATCTTTGTAAATATAAACATGATCTGTACGTGTACATGTATACTTTATTGTGCACGTTGTATGAGATTTGTACACAAACATAGAAATAACTGGATGAAACGAATGAATTAAATAATTAATGAACGAACGAACGAACGAACAAACGAATGAACGATCGAATGAATGAATGAATTAATGAATGAATTAATGAATGAATTAATGAATGAATGAACGAATGAATGAACGAATGAATGAAGGAAGGAAGGAAAGAAAGAAGGAAGGAAAAAAGAAATGAAGAACGAGTGATTAAAAGGATGAATGGATAAATGAATGAACACAATCTGTGCCTCGTTCCAACATGAACGCATCTTCGCCACTAGTCTACTTGAAGATTATGAATCGCAGATGTCTAAATGTTCGTACATGTTTGTATGCATTTGTGCGTGTTTGTTTGGGTTTCCGCACGTTTTCATGTGTTCGTATGTGTTTGTATATATTTGTATGTGTTTGTGTGTGTTTGTATGTGTTTGTGTGTGTTTGTATGTATTTGTATGTGTTTGTATGTGTTTGTGTGTGTTTGTATGCGGTCTTTATCTTCGCATACATTTGTTTATGCCTGTTTCTAACAAACATTATATATATATTAATATGTTTTAATCCTCTTTGAAGTTATAATTATTAGAATACAAATTATTTTTTCATACATTCATTTGAATACTTAAAGCACGGTAACCACCAAGTAGATTTTTTATTCAAGTAACAAAACAATTTTTAATGAAATATCAAAAAATTAACTCATATTAACTATTTGTATTTTGTTAAAAAGAAGTGATTGGTATTTTAACAAATTAATAAACGAACGTAGAGAATGATTTTTCCAAAATGACTTGTCAAAAAAAGCCATTATGTTTCATTTATTACAAATTGTCTCTTATTCTTTGAGAAGAAATAACATTTCCAATAAAATCAACTCAAACAACTCCTCCAGTTAATTTCCATTTTTCCATTTCATAGCTGCTTCCTTTATCAACTTCCTTACCAACAGTCACAAAACTTAATACGCATCGTGTTTCTTAAAGTTGATGACAAGCTGTTAATATAGTAATATGACAAATGCAATAATTAATAATTACGGAAATTTACTTGAAAGTGGAATATGTGTATGTGCGCGTGTGCGTGTGCATGCGTGTGTGCGCGCGCGCGCGTTTGAAATCATTCAAAAACTGTAGCACAGTTTTTTGATTTTGGAAAAAAATTTCATGTCCAAATATTTTCAATTAATTTTCAATTAATTTTTTATTTTTTTACACACTGAAATATTCATGCGCAAACTCATTACCAATTTTTATTAAATTTATTTAATTACTTTATCCATTTAAATTATTCGTTTATTTATTTTTACAAAATTTTTGTTTGTTTTTATTACTTTAATCGTACAGTACAGTTATTCGCACATTTACTTGTTTGCTGTTCATTCAAATATTTCAAACGTTTCTAGTTAGTTATCGTAAGGAAGCAGAATCAAGTGAAAGATCAAAAGAGAAAAGATTGAGAAGAAAGTTTAAAGTTTACGGACGGATCAACTCGTTTAAATGTTCTGCCGTGTTTCTTTCTCTTCTAACTTATTCTACGTCGTTCCCGTCTTGATGTTTTGATGCGTGTGCGTGTGTGTGTGTGTGTGTGTGTGTGTGTGTGTGCACGTGCGAGTGTGTGTGCACGTGCGTGTATGTATGTATGTATGTATGTATGTATGTGTGAGTGAGAGAAGTTGTATTCATGTATGGGTATGTGTGTGTGCGTGTGTGTATGTATGTTTGCGTGTATACGTGTGTGTTAACGCACTTTTAAAAATGTGTTAACTAGTTTATTATAAACTAAATGGATGAGAACAAAATCTATTTAGTTATAGGTACAGGTAATTGAAATTTTTGTTTTATGAGATTTTGCATATATAAACAGTCACACGCACACATACACGCACATACGCATAGATACGCATGCACACACACACACACACTTACATACACACATCCTTACATACAATATACACGTGCTTAAATATATACATACATATACATACGCACATATACATATAGTGGACCGAACATTATTCCTTGAATTGCATGCATATATGAAGCAATGACATGTTAACACACCGCTGATAGATTAAGGAGATGGAGTTTGTTAATGACGAGATAACATTCTTTTTCTTCTTCTTCATCTTCTTCTTCTTTTTCTTCTTCTTTTTCTTCTTCTTTTTCTTCTTTTTCTTCTTTTTCTTCTTCTTTTTCTTCTTCTTCTTCTTCTTTTTCTTCTTCTTCTTCTTCTTTTTCTTCTTCTTCTTCTTCTTCTTATGATGTGTTTTTCTTGCTGCTGATTGCATATTTTCATGCTCATTCTTTCCATATTTTTTCTATATATTATATATTTTGTTTCATTTTATTTAATTTACACCTCTGTTAATTTGAATGTGAATATTTTATTTTGACATTACTGAGCTCATTTGCTTTATCATTATATTATGCTATGTCATCACTCTCAGTTGCATAAAAACACACACACACATTTACTTATTTTATATAATTGTAAATAAATAAGTTATTTATTTTTTGTTTCTATTTCTATATTTTTCAGACAAAAGGGATGCAATCTGTTATTGAAAGTATAACTTAATTCATTGAATAAATTTCTTTTATAACTAACTGTTTACATTTCATAATTTATTGAATATTGATGCAATCACAGAATGTTCCGCGTTAGTTAGCTAATTATTTAATTTTTAGATTTTTCTAATGGTAGAATCAAGTTTCTAACCAAAATTTTTATTTATTTTAAGCATGATGGAACAAAAAAGCTTTTTTCGGTATTCCTATACCATCTTTGGTGTTCGAATTGATACGTTGTGTATATGCCGAATTCTCAAGTATATATATACTGTGCCTCTACAAATTCAAAATTTGTAGACATGCCCGCGTTATTTTTGACCTAATTATCGCAATATCAGACGAGGATTCTACTAATTCTTTTCACATAATTTCCATTTTTTATTGTTTGCTTGAACACCAGTTTATTTCATGTATTAACACTATTTTGCAGTATTCACGTTGAAAATTTTTTTATCTTTCAACATTTTCCCACGTTTTTTCCATCATATTGCAAAGATAGACGTGCAATGTCGGCTGAATTTGATGGACCTGTTTAGTGTGGACTGATTTTTTAATGAGGAATGAGTAACGTTCGACACGTGATTTGATGGAGCACGAGGGTGGTGTTCCAACTTACCTGAGTGATATATTTTGCGAGAGATATGTTGGACTGCCAAAATAGTTCAACGTGTGTCAGTAACTCATAAAAAGTTGTTGCAAAAATATTGAATGACCTGTTTTTGACTGATTTACAAACATTTGTTGTCATTTTTGTTGTTTTTCAGGCGCAAATTGTCAACACTTAACAAAGTAACAACACAAGATTTACTCTAATAGCAAAAAAATGTAAAAAAAAATAATCATCAATCTTAAAATTTTTAACAATTTCGTTATCGACAGTGACAGCAGCAACAACAGAAATTAGAAATTGTATGATCGTGTTGGGGACTTAAAGCGAAGCACAGGCTTGAGTCACCCACTCCAAATTTAGACGGCAGGTGCTTTGACATTCACAGTCACAAGTCGAAACTTATGCATGAAAAGCAAAATTAATCGGAATTATAAATGTTTTATTTTATATAATAACTTATGACTTGAGCTATATAAGCTAAAGTTGTTTTTTATCTGTAAAATAAATTTTGATTGTTTCACGATTATTACATGATTTTATGAGCATGATATTTTTAGAGAAGCAATAATTTAACGTAACTGAAAAAGTTTGAAGCATATCAACCTTGTAATTCTTGGATTAAACTTTTCCCAGTGTATTCTATACAATGACAAATTAATGCTGCACCATCGAATGAAAACAAATAAATAAATTTGTAAAGGTTTCTTCCATGATATCTTTAGAGAAGCAATAGTAGTTATCGTTACAATAGTAAATTAACTAAAAAAATTTGGAAGCGTTTAACAAAGTGACCACAACAAAATTGGAAATGGCGGGTTTCAAGCTATCCTGCTCTTCTACAAAGACATGCAATTTGAATGGCATTATAAAATATCACAAACACGAAGAGAACCACAGCGATGACAACGATGACGATGCTGACCACAATTTCATCAACAACAGCAGTTGCGGCAACAGCGAAAGTTTGAAAAAAATTGTGTCCCCATCAACTACAGCCAACAGCAATTCTATTTTTAACAACAATAACACTACACCCAATAACAACAACATCTACGGATTGAGTAGCAGCAACTTGTATCCAACCAATTGGAACAGCCTGTCGTGGCAAATGTTCAACCAGTATCACCAGCAATCCTACCAGCATTCTCAACTACAAAAATTTTATAACTTTAGCAACAGTTGCAAAAATGTGGGTAAGGACTCTGAGAGCTGCACAATCAACAATTTGCTTTCCTACCAGAACTACAATAAAAGTTGCGACCTCGAGTACAAAACAACACCGTCTTTCGTTTCTGGTTGCAATTATCCAAACTCTGATATGACGTCGTTCAATAATGACACGAACACTTTACAGGATCACATAAAATCACTGTCCGATACATTTAGCAACAAACTAAGCAGCAGCAACAACGATTACGTCATCCACAACAACAACAACAGCAACAACAACAACAACCCTTATTCGCCACTAGCCATAAGTAACAAACTTATGAGCAGCGGGCATAGCTTCATTAGCACAAATGTCAGTGATGCAGATGATAACGATGTTGATGGGTACGACGACGGCAAAGATGATAGTGACAACAACACCAGCAACAACTGCCAAGATAGTGAGCAGCAACAACAACATTCAAGTGAAACAACATACTCGCATCACAAACTCACAACCAACCTACCAACTAAAAGTCTAAATTCTACCCCAGATAAAGGTTCTATTTGATTTGATTCATTATCTCTTTTTCATTACCTCTGTTACTATTTCAAAATGTGAAATCTTTTCTAATTTGTTTTAACGTTTACAGATGCGTCTAAAAATTGTTAATAAAAGTCACCGCGTTTTCCACATTATTTAATTTACAACTAAGCTTTATAATTTTGCCAACAGTGATTTTAAGGTTGTGTATACATACTTATCTATCTGTATATATGCGTTTGCGTTGTGAGCAAGAAGCAAGTGTTACAAAAAAAATATTTTATTGGGCTGCATCTGGAAGCCAACTGACCAATAAGAAGTGAACATGCATGGTGTGATTGCTTTTCTGCACAAACATTTGTGTGTAGAAACGTTTCAAATAGGCGGGTCTGTTATAGTTTAGCTTAGTTGAGTTTATTTGAAACATGCTTTTAATTTTCATAATGAATGTTTCGTGGAAAAATTTCAATCATTAAAATGTTGTTTAAATTTGTTATCTGGATTGTTGTGAGATGTGACTTTTGAATTATTTTTTTAATGAAATGAAAATGATTTTATGAAAACTACAATTTTATTCTTGAAAAAAGCCAACTAGTTGACGTTAACTAAATAAAATGATTGATTGTACGTTGAATGAATTAAAACTGTTACGAAATCAATTCGCCTAAGAAATCACCACATCAAATGTAACAAGCGAGCACAAAATTGATTCCTCCTCGTCTTCCTCTCCATCCATCAACAAATTGAAGTTGAAACCACGACGCAATCGCACGACATTCAACAGTCAACAGCTTGTCGCATTAGAAAAAGTTTTTGAAAAAACCCATTACCCCGACGCCTTCGTGAGGGAAGAACTTTCCAGAAGAGTCAATCTGAGTGAAGCCAAGGTTCAGGTTGGTTGGTGGGTTGATTGGTTGGGTTGTTGTTTGGTTGGTTGGATAGATGGTTTTAGTATGAATGATTTCTACAACGATACAATGATGAACCACTTTTAAATACTAGAAAACCTTCTATTCTGTTGTTTTTATTTATTCAATTAATTTTTTCAATTAAAATAGTTAGAATCATTTTTTATTTTTTGTGCCACGTGTCAAATAAATTTAGATATAAAGTAGATTCCATTCCTCGTTTACAATAAAATGATTTTAATTTAATCGGCAGCACTCAATTATTACCGTTGAATGACGACAATAATTTGCGCAGGTCTGGTTTCAGAACAGACGAGCGAAGTTTCGTCGTAACGAAAGGAACATTTTGCTGCAGAGGTCGGCCTTCTATTCATCTCCAACGGCAGCAGGAATGGACTTGTATCCATTCGCTCAAACTGCTCTCAACTACCATGGAACATCACCGTCACCTATCTACCATCCATACAGATCTGATTACTTTGGTATATATTTTTTGATATATAAACATATCACTCGATAACATTACTTTAATTAATATGAACGATTTTAGAGAAATACTATAAAAATTAAAATATTTCATCTGATAAGGATGGAGAGGCAGCAGTATGTACAATTCGATGACGCCATCGTTCGATCCTACCCATCACCTCAATGACGTCATTGCTGCTACCACACTTGCCAGCCAACACCCGCCAGTCGATGGCTACACATTCGTCGATCCCTTCTACAACAACAACATCAGCAACATCAACAGCATCAACAACAGTAACAGCACGGACAACAACATCAGCATACATAACAACATACACGTGCACAACAACAACAACTTCCATTCAAACATCATCAAAACAGTTTCACGTGACTCACTTCAGCCAATCAAATCGTACACATCGGATCAGGGATGCGCGGATGTGTACAACGAGCCTTACTTTCATTAGACGATTTTTTAACCCTACTCACAAATGAACCGTTCGTTTAATCACATCATGTACAACTGCCATTGTTACTTTTATTTGTTTTTATTGTAAACGAATGACTTTAAGATTTCATAAGGTTAGGTTCACAAATGTAACTGTAACATAACATGCCTTAATTTCCTCTCGATCTCAGTTTGCACTTTTGCTCTTTCAACGAGATTTAGACATTGACTCAATTGACTTTTTACGGTTTATAAACACATTAAATCCAAAAAAATCAAATGACATTTATTTTTCACCAGTTCAAATTCTTATAAAATTGTCTTTAATGATCAATGTCGTTACGAAATTAATAAGTCATTGATCATTATTTATCAACAGATTTACTAATTTATATATTTTTTTTCATCTGTCAGTATTATTTTTTCATCATCGTTCTTACACATCGCGAAATAATTTATAAATAAAATGTCATCAAAAGGAGCAGTAGAAAGGTGATAGCCAAAGAACAATATTACTCTTGTTTTATTTTGACATCATAGTAATATAATAAAAGTATTACTGTGGTATTAAAAGAAATAATTATATATGATAAAGATATCCTTATATTATAATTAACCTGGAATAGTTATAATATTGTGCAATCCAAGTTTTCAACGAGAAAATACCACAAAACACCAGTGCACAAAAAGATCTATAAAATTAGAATACTTTTTGGTAATCTAATACTCAGCAATTTCAAGAACAAACACAATTTTAAGATACCGACTTAAAATTTATAAATGATGGATGTGTTGGGATAAACCTCGGCTAATTTATATTGTAACTTATGCAGCATTTAACAGATATTTCCTCAAAAAGTAGCCTACGATTAATAAACAGTGCACGAGAGTTGGTACTACAAACCATTCATATGTTGTGTAAATGGCACAAATGATTTTTGTACTGATACAAACGTACATCATTATGCACTAGTTATAAATTTCCACTGTAACATGGATACAGCACGTATACACGCTTTGTTGTACTGTTAATTTTTTTTAAAAACCAACCCGTGCCTGATTCCGATTGCAAGCAATCATTAAGACCAAACATCTGGACCAAACAAAGTCTTCATAAACAATTTCATGCTGAAGATATAACAAGGATTTGGATGGATGGATGGGTGGATATATAGCTGCATGTATAGATGTATAAAAGAATGGATAAATGGATGGATGAGTGATTGTACAGTCGTCCATGGTACAAGCAGAGTAAAATACATATCCCACTACTAATTAACAGCAGTTTTGTATCTCTTCATAAGTTCATAAAATATACAGAGAACATACACAATTTTCAGCGATGTTTTAAAGTTTAAGAGATGTATAAAAAATAAAACGAATATTTCTTCAATTCCGTTTTGTTAACGTAGACTAGCGGAAAAATTGTAAGACGCAAACTTTTTTAAAAATAATTACATTTTGATTGAATGATTAAACATCCGCCGTGTCTAGCAGAGATGGGCAAATTACAAACTATATTTAATTTCGATACAAATTACAAAATACTCTAATAATTGTAATTTCGATACCAATTACAAATTACATTTAATAAAAGAGCTAAATTACTAATTACAAATTACTAATTTCAAATTACATTTTCTTTTAAATTATTTAAACATTGATTTTTCTTGGCGCTGATATTCTTTGATGTCATTTTTTTTATATTCATTTATTAAGTTTCCTTTTCCATTTCCTTTTCCTTCTATCAACAATTTGTTCAATCTTTTAACGAATGACTGAAGAAAGAAAGACACTATTCATCACTACTTTTGATTTTGCATATTCTTTGATGTCATTTTCATATTTTTTCATTAATTTACTTCCTTTCGATCAACAATTTGTTCAATCGTTTAATGAACGACTGAAAAAAGAAGGAAAGAAAGGAAAGAAGAAAAGAAAGAAGGAAAGAAAGAAGGAAAGAAAGAAAACAAGAAGCGTCAAACATCAAAGAAGTAAACTTCTTTGATGTAGCAAATGAAATTTTTAATCAAATAAATTTTTAGAATCTAAAAAAAATTTTAGAATTTCAAGAAAAAATTTTTTTCAATAATAATAATAATAATTTGTTTAAGTTAATCTGTTCACTCACATATAAACTATATTTTTTTAGTCAAAATGTAATTTGAAAATACTTTGAAATTACCAAAATATGGCCTCTTTATTTTAAATAGTGCTCTTGATGAAAAGTCAAAAATTGTACAATAATGTCATTATACAACCAAGCAAACTGTAGAAGACATGATAAAAAACTTAAAAATTTAAAACGTAAGAACGTTTATATTTTGTTTAACCTCCCGAAAGTTCGAGCTCTTTACCTTAAACACCAACGGTAACTATTCTTTCTTCTGCTTTATTTAGATGTACTAACAAAGCGCACAATTTCGCTATGATATCGAATCAGAGATCTTTCCATAAATTTGAACTTGATGACTAACTCAGGACAGGACGCGTCCTCGTTAAGTCATTTCACTTAATCCGTCGTTGTGCAGGATCGTAAACTTTACAGTTTTTTTGTTAGATGTAAAAATCAAAACAAAGTCACGCTGATTCAAATCACCTGCATTTGGCTATCGAGAAATCCTATGCAAAAATATAAAATATAGTTATTTATCTAAGTTCAAAAACAAAAAATTAATTGAGGACATAGACGAAAATAACGAACCAGAATCAAACAAGAAATGAGGAACAGATTCGTTATTGACATGAAAATACAAAGCGAAGAAATTAACTCGAAAAGCGATGAACGAAAGATTCTGAAAAAAGTAAAGTAGCGAAATTCCATAGAAAGTTCATGTCTATTCTATAAAAAATCAAATGGTGTTCCCTGAAAATACGTGATATGACACGTAATCCTAACAGCTAGACTACATTTTACAAGAAATTTCAAAAATAAAAATAACTGCTTTGATATACTTTGGAACTGGTTTATTCATTAAATTAACAGATGCAAAAGAAATTACAAATATAAAAGTAATTTCATGATGACACAAGTTGCAATTTTGCAATCAAATAAACGACCGCAACAACGTTATAAAACTCGTGATAAACGATATCCGTTTGCAAAATTACATCTTAATATTTTCACGATAATGATCTTAATAATTAGCGAGAAAAAAATCAAAATATCATCCCTAAAATTATTTGAAAGGCAAGCTAGGGAAAAATTCAAACTGATCACGAGCATATTTTTGGTCTCAATAATGATCGGTCACAGATAACCTGACGTAAATTGAACAATCATACATTGATAACCGTACACTGATCCACCACGCATTGATATATCGTAGTAGGTACATTGACCTATTCTACACACATTTAACATTGTTTTTTATCCAATCCTCAACTCATGCATCAAATCAGACTTGCAAGACTAATTTAAATAAATTTGCAATACCTTCTTTTATGAATAGAGTGCATTTCTTCAAAAAATTATATTCAAAACAATAACAAATGTTAATATGAAAAACGTGATGTTGCATATTTGGAAACAGTGAATGCAGTGAATTAGATAAATGCATTTTAATCTATTTGGAATTCATATCTATCTTAATATGCCACCAAACAGACAAAACCTCAAAACATTCAAAACTCAGGCAACCAGCCACATTTAGTGCAGAGCTTACACTCAGGCTTGTGATCAGTGCCCTTGTTTGGGCAGTTCTTCTGTCTTTCTTTAACCCCTTCTGGAAGGTTGGTGTGAGTGCCATCACAATATGGTGGAGTCTTTGTGTGCTTACACTGGCAGATGTAATATTCCTTCTGATCTTCCGGAACTGTCCAAGGCATCGATGAAAACCCTGTTCCTTTATGGCTGCCTAGATGCACAAATTTTAATAATGAAAATAAAAAAAATTTTGGCCAAATTTACAAAAATGTCACATTGAAAAATTGCTAATAAACTTTGAACATATAATTCTTAAATTAAAATCTTTCACAAACATTGATTAATAAAAACTAACCAAGTTAATTACTTTTTACATTCAATAATAAAACTCTTTAAAACCTATTAGTAGATTAAAATTTGAAATTAATAAAATATAAATAAGAATATGAGTAGGTAGATTACCATCACACCATGGCTGCTTCTTACTCAATCCACAAACACACCAACGTTTCACCTCTCCTTTCTTCAGGTCAGTCACAGTTGCTGGTGCATACTATCAAATAAAATTTTAATATTTAAAATTTTAAATACAATATAAATTTTATATTATTTAAAATTAAATTTTATTAATAATCATAATAATATAAATAATTATAATAGCAACGGTTTGATTTAATTTTAATTTAATAGCTTGCAGAATGCTACAATACTTGGTGCACAAAAATGAATTAAAAAAATTGAATGAAATAAAATAATTTTATTATTTTATTTTATAAAAATAAATAAAATAAGAGGGTATGGTGGATAACCATGGCGACAGCAGGGACAAGGCCACTGGGTTTCTCAGCAGATGCCATTGTAAATAAATTTGAAATTTTAATAGAAAATTTTGAAGTTTTATTGATTTTTAGAAGGAATTAATTAAACAAACAATAAATTGATATCAAACTGCAAACAAATGAACAACCGAAGAGCAGACGATCAATCAACACAACGCCCCATGTTGTACTAGCAATCTAACATTAGTGTAGCGCATCCGTAGTGACACGACCCAATTATAATTGGGTCAACAACCAGGGATGGGCTTGACAAAATGGTTCCATTAGCAAACGTCAGACGTCAATCAATCAATCAATCAATCAATCAATCAATCAATCAATCAATCAATCAATCAATCAATCAATCAATCAATCAATCAATCAATCAATCAATCAATCAATCAATCAATCAATCAATCAATCAATCAATCAATCAATCAATCAATCAATCAATCAATCAATCAATCAATCAATCAATCAATCTATCAATCAATCAATTTTTATAAGTTTTTAATAACCAGTCTGTAAAACTTTTTATTCAGGTCTTAACTAATTCGAATTGTTGGTAGTCTATGTCCCTGACCCTGAACAAAATGTTTCCAAAAACTTGCCCGATCTGACTTAGAAACAAAAAAATACATCCTGGGCAAACCTTTTATTTACACACCTTGACCGAAATTTATATATTTTGTATATACTGCACAAAAAAAAACAATGTTTTTTTTTATAATTTTTACATAATGTTTTTATAAAAAGTATTTCATTTTAAATCAATTTTACTTAACAAAAGTTATTTAAAAATAATGGTCTAATAAATAGATGGTGGGAGAAAAATTGTCCGTTAATTATAAATGATCTAATTTTTCATTGTTGTTAAAGTTTTTGATAATTTTTTATTCAGAAATTCTTGGAAAAGCGCCCTTAAAATGACTGTACTGGATAAAGTACAAAGGACTGTACTGGACTGACACAAAAAAGCAAAAAATGACCATCAAATATATATAACTCAGTCGAGTGTTGCGATTGTGCATTCAAAAGTCGGTTAAAAATTTCTCCACTTGTTCATATGTTTTCGTTTTCCAAAAGCGTGAGTATTATTAACATACAAGTGATTTGACTTAACAATATAAAAAAAAAATCAAGAAATTCAAAAATGGATCGTACTTAATACTTTTCTCATTATATAATAATTTACTCATTATACGCAGTGCGGCATTTTATGCACGAACCTTGTGGCAGATGAATAACGATTGTTGAGTGATTGCACATATTTAACTTCAAGTACAATTCACGTGCTAAAGATCCATCATAAAATTATTGTTTAAAACGGTTAAAAAAGGGCAGCAAACAAATCTAAGACATCTTATTTTAAAACAAAAGTGTTCAAATAAATAAATTGTATTATATCTATTGATAGCATTTGGTGGCTAGTGATTAAATAATGAAAAGAAATTTTGAATTGATGCATGTAACAGTAATTGCACGTTCTGTAACAGAGATAAATTTTTTAATTGAAATAATTTCAACTATTTAATTAAATACTTCTTTTCAAAAGATATTTGTAATTATTTCCAGCTTTTAAATTGTTTTTAGACTTTTGATAACGATAAAATAAAATTAAATTAAAGCATTTTCATTGCGTATCGGTACAGACTAGTATCACAACCACAAAACTGTAAAGCGAGTGTGAAAGAATTGGTTAGAACCGGTTTTTAAAGATGTTCAGCTTTGTATGGTGGCTCGAAACAATCAACAATCATCATACTTTGTGAGAACAATATTTGAGTATTATAAAATTATTTAAATGTATCAGACGTTTATTGCAGATGTTTTGAAAAGCATCAATATTAAATTTAACAAAAAAAACTTGAACAACATTTTGTTTTTACAAAGAAATTATGCGATTCAAATGAATGTTAAAAAAATTAGTAATAATTAAACTTTTTAACGATAATTTGAAATGAAATATAATAGCAAATAAGTGAAATTCCATAACCTATCAATATAACAGCGTTTATTGTCTGTAACGCTAGCTTTAATAAGCATTGTGGCACTATTTCTACATTACTTTCTCTGGTTAGCATTTATTCAACAACAGTTAAAGCACTGAAAAGCACAAATGGTAAAGTTAAGCCGACCAAGATAAGACGTCTAAGAACCAGTTTGATCTGGTTACATAGTTACATTCGCTGTTGTCTTCGGGCACATATATAATAATCACTTAACTCATGCATAACACAAATATTAAACAATTTTTTAATTTGTTTTTACAAAATATTTGTTTTTGAATTGCATTAAACAACAAAATGTCTCTAACCAAAGTAGGTGCCAAAAAGTGATTGCTGTTAATAATAAATTAAGATGTTTTATTGACCATTTAAAACCAAAACGTTTTTGAATAAGACTTTAAAATTTGAGCACCAAAGCAGCTTAAATAATAAGCTCTGTGTTTATTAGGATAATAAAAGAAGATAAAAATATGTGTTTCAAACTATTTAAACGCAGGGCCGGAATTAGGGTATTTTCCAGGGGGGGCAAAAATCAGTGTGCCGCCCCCCCCACGACGTTATTATGCTACTACCGTAAGGTGTATAAATGCATTTTTTAAAATTACATATTACATGTTTCTTAATAAAATGTTTTATTTATGGACATATCAATACACATGTTAACACAGATACTTGACATAGAAAAAAACAACTATATTATAGTTATAAAACGTGAAAAATTGAAAAACTTTGTATTACAAACAGTGTCATTTGTCAACTTATCAAGTAATTGTTTCGTATATTATATTATATTATATTAGAAACAAATCTTTCTAGCTTTTTTAGCTGCAAATGTATTGATTATATTATCAAAATTGATAAGAGATGCTCGTTTGTATTCAATTGAAATTATGCTTAAATTGGAAAGTCTCCCCTGTCCCATTGTACTTCTCATGTAGTTTTTGATGATTTTGAGTTTACTGAAACTTCGTTCTCCAGATGACACTGTGATAGGCAACGTGAGAAAGATTCTCAATGCAGTAGTGATGTTAGGGTAGCCTTCTTCTAATTTATTTTTATAAATGAGACTTAGCATTTCTTTTGATGTGGCTTTTTTTAAACTTTTGTCAACTGTCAAAGCGTGATGCTTAAAACTTTCTATTTCAAACATGAATTCATCAATGTTGAGATCAGCTGAGTATATATTTGCCAAATTTTCGGCTTTAATTTTTAGATCTGCTGTCTGCATTTCTTCAATTTTAACACCACTCAAAAACCCAAACATACTGTTTATATTATTCAAAGATTCAAATCTGTCACTAAGTTCTGTAATCACTCTGTCAATGATTTCTAACATAGTCACTTGGTACATATTTTCAACGCTTGTCAGAGCTTCATCATTGCACAATTCATCAGCCATTTTTCTTTTCATTCTTGGTCTCTTTTCTGAAAATGCAGATGTTAGATTATTCATTTTTGCTAACAATTTACCCTCAGCAATGGCCTCAGATGATGCAGACTCTCTGCAAGACTTCATAAGTGTCAAAAGACCTTTGAGGTTTCGGGCAGTCAAATCAACTGTTAAATCTTTTTTTTTGTAAAAATTCGTTTACATGGTTAATCTTTTCTAACAATGCATGCCAAAATCTTACCATCACGATAAATTCAAGTTTTTGAATATTTTTCAAAAGAGAGCTGGCCTCATTCACAGTTTGAGGAGTTGAGAAATCATAGTTTTTAAGATCTTCTAGTCTGCAGAACTTTACTATAATGTTTATATACAGCTTCGACTGCATCTAATCTTGCAGACCATCTTGTTTTGCTTTCAGGTTTTAATGTTATCGGCACATTTTCTTTGAGAACTTCCCAACGTGAAGTTGAAAGTGCAAAAAAAGAATACAAACTGTTCAAAGTTCCAAAAAATTCTGAGCCTGGACAGTAGCACTAGCTGCATTAGCACCAACCAAATTGAGAGAGTGTGCAGCACATGGAACAAAATATGCCAGATGGTTTTTCTGCAATAATCTGGACTGGACTCCTTTATATTTTCCAGCCATATTTGCTCCATTGTCATAGGATTGCCCCCTACAATTCTCCAAGTTAAGTCCATCTGCATCTAATTTTTTCAAAATTTCTTGACTGAGACCTTCAGCTGTTTTGACACTAACTTTAAAAAAATCAATAAAACTTTCTTCTATTTCAGTTGTATCTTTTTTGACGTAACGAACTACTTGTGTCATTTGTTCGCTGTGACTGATATCCGGAGTGCAGTCAAATATTAAGGAAAAATATTTTGCATCCAAAATGTCTTGTATTATTCTTTGCTGTATGTTATTAGCAATAATTTATAAAAACTCATCTTGTATTTTATGTGAACAATAGGATATTTGTCCTTTCTTATGCCGCTCAATGTGTTGTTGAAGAGGAACATTATAATGCGAAATAAGTTCAACTGTATTCAAGAACTTTCCATTAGATGGGTTGCTGAAATCACAATTTTCTTTAGTTCCTCGAAATGGACTTCCTTGTTTTGCCAAGAATAGAATAGCATCTACAATACAGCGCAATACCGCTTTCCAATGCAACTCTTCTTGTTGGATCTGATCTTGGAGTTCTGCATCAATACTTCCATTTACTAAACAAGATTCTAATGTTTTCCAAGAACAAAAGCAAAGTTTGTGGTTAGATGTTCAGGCAACTTTTCATTAAGTTTTTTTCAATTGGTAAGTCCTTTTTCTTTAGCTAAAGAAGACATTTGATTTGAAGCTAAGTGTGGAAACAGTCTGCAGGGAATACAATAGAGAGCTTTATTACTTTCACTATAGGCTAAGGATGATCTTTTCATTTTTTCTCCATTTTTGAGAACTTTATAAAACCAGTCTTTGGTTAAATTGCGTCCTTCTCGGCTACTGTTACTCAAATTTGGTTCAGTTAAATTTTCAAATCTCATTTTTGTTATGAAACATCTTTCTGAATCAGAAAAACTTTGTGGCCATGAACCAAGATCACTGAAATCAAAAGGGTACTTAGATGTCTTTTGAAGACTAGTTGTGGGGTCTTGTTGAGGTAATAATTCTTCTACAGTTTCATTTGTTGGATTGAAGTTGAACCAAAATACTTTCTCCTTGATCTCTTCTTTAGCTTCCATGTCATCTAAATACGAAATATTTAAAAATATTATTTTATTCAAAAGGATGCATAATTAATACAGATTGTGCATAATGTTCCATTATTCAATTAATAAAATTTGAAATAATAAAAATATTTACCTGATTTTTCTTTTGAGTCCTCTTTATCACTATTCACTATAATACTAACATTAACATTAGATTTGTTGAATAACGTTTCTAATTTTAGCGTTAGCGACAGCACATCGCTTTCTTTTTTTCGTTTTTCTTTAGCAATTCTTCTGTATTCAGCTCCACTAAGTTTTTTTCTGCCATCCATTTTTATTTTCTAACATGAAAACGACTAAACTAACCTACTATACTATACGATATTTTTCGCGGCGTGATTTTAAATCAAATAAGGGAAAGATTACAAATAAGAAATAAGATAAAGATTCTGCTCATAATATTTGCGTTTATATTTTAATCTTTACATAGAAAAAAAAACAAACCAAAAAAAATTAAAAAAAAATTAAAAATGAGTAATATAAAAAAATCAAATTTACTTTGATCCATCATCCATATTATAACAAATGCGGATAAATTTTTCAAATTTTTAAAAAATGTCTAAAATTTGCCGCCCCTAAAATTTGCCGCCCGGGGCGCTTGCCCTCTTTGCCCCCCTCCTAGTTCCGGGCCTGTTTAAACGTTGTCGTAGTTACTACCATAGAGCAGAAGTGGAATGAATGAAATCCAACTCTGATTCAAATGGGGTTCAAATTTTAGCGCTAGAAACGGCGATATTGCCTTAATTTTGTAACTTGTTCTAGCAACTTGTATCAATGTAGTTAATTTGTTTCAGAATGGTAAAAGTTACAAATACTCGATTGCCAACGGCAAGTCAAGACCAAAAACAGACAAAATGGCTTTGGAAGATCTCAAAAAAGAAGTTGAAATGGTAAATAAAAAAAGTTTAATGATAAATTGCTTTTAACTTTTATAAAAATCTCTACAAATTTTTCCAAAGGATGAACACAAAATATCAGTTGTAGAACTTCAAAAACGATTGGAAACAGATTTCGAATCGGTAAAAACAATTCTTATTTGCTTTGAAAATAATAAAATAAAATAAAACTGACAAAATAATTTACACAGGGTCTAACGAGCAAACAAGCAGAGGATATAATGGCCAGAGATGGACCGAATCAGCTTAGTCCACCGAAAACAACGCCAGAGTGGGTGAAATTTTGTAAGCAGCTCTTCGGAGGATTTGCCATGCTCCTGTGGATCGGTGCAATCCTCTGCTTCATTGCCCACGCCATCACAGCATCCACAACGGATGAACCCTCCAATGATAATGTAAGCTTTTAAGAACACGACATGGATGGGCTATAATTTTTATTGAATTAATTTTATACAGTTGTACTTAGGAATTGTTTTGACCGTTGTTGTCATTTTAACCGGTTGTTTCTCGTACTATCAAGAAGCTAAAAGTTCAAAAATCATGGATTCTTTCAAGAATTTAGTACCACAGGTTAGATGAAACTCATCAACATATCTGAGTAAATATTTATTAATTTTCTAAATTTCTTTTAGATAGTGGATTAAAATGTATTCATTATTTTCCAAGTTATAAACAAATGATTACAAATATCATTTATATAGTGTCAATTTTTAAATCAGTAGAATGTCGAATTTAACGGCTGTAGCATACAAACGAACGTTTCAAAAATGGAAAACGGTCAATTTTGAGTATTCGAACATTAGTTGAAATTCCTAAAGAAGATTCATAAACTTGAGATTCATAAACTTAATATGTTGATTAATAGTTCGCAATTGCCATACGAAACGGCAAACAGACAACAGTGAAGGCAGAAGAGTTAGTGAAGGGTGATGTGGTCGAAGTGAAATTCGGCGATCGAGTACCAGCTGATATCAGGATACTAGCAGCTCACGGGTTGAAGGTACGATGCTGTCTATGATTCATATCTTTATACGTATTTCAGATTCATTTGAAACGAATATCATTATTCTTCGTACTTCATTAAAATTGTTTTTCATTAAAAATTCTTCTTATTTATATAAATAACCGTTTTTCAAGTTATACTTTTTATTACGAATAATACTAAATACTCAATTGAACAACGTTCACAAACTCTTTTTTTCAGCTTTGAGTAAAAAAAAACGAGTGATTCCAAAATAAAATTAGTATATGTTGTTATTAAACTAAACATTATCGGGCACATGTTGTGTGCAAATTTTCATACCATTTTTCATGTTAGCACTTCACACAGATATACACATACACCTGTAATAATAATTAAATAAATTAATATAAAAAAGTTAATTGAAATATTTTAAATGTTTTAAAATTTATTATTGCCCTTTAATAAAATACAAGTCTATCTTTTAAAATCTAGACAAATTTCTTGTTTACAGTTTGATAAAATGACAAGTTTTGATAAGTTTTATCTCTTGAATCTTAAAAAGATAAAATGTGAACAAAAAACAAATCTGTTAAAAATATCTGAAAGGATAATAATTAACTAAATATGATGTTTCCGATTTTATAAAAGTGAAAAACGAGTGTTGAAATTGTTACAATACCATGCACAGTAACTAAGCATTGGGATATTTTTTTCTATTATTGTCTAGTCTAATTGATTACTTGATGTGTAGGTATATGCAGTTCAGTTGATTCATTGAATATTTCTGCTGTTTGTTGGGTTTATTATTCATATTTTTAGTTATTTTTAGTTATTAATATTTTGTTTCATTGAATTCACACTTGACTGATTACTTGATTCATTTTTACTATGAGTTGATTGACTGTTTGTTATATGATCTATTTCGTTATTTTTAGAGACCATGTTAGATTTTTTTATTGATTTCTTGGGGGCTTGCTTTTTTGAATGTTTTTAACAGTTTTGTTTATTGCATTTTTACGCATGCATTTTTTCTTTATATTCTTTATTTTATATTATTTCATTTTTATTAAGTTTTATTTTATTTATGTTATTTATTTAAGTATTTATTTTTTCATTTTATTTTATTTTTGCACTTCTTCATAACTATTTGATTAGCGAATTTTTGGCTGAACCCAGCTAAATCTTCAGAAAATAGACTGTATGAATTTGATTGAAAGGTTGGTTGATGGGAAACAAACAAAATCTCTTTCATCTACCTTGATGGTAACGAATTTATGTAAGGTTCTTATTGACATTTTATAGGTGGACAATTCATCTTTAACTGGAGAATCTGAACCTCAATCACGAACTCCAGAATTTACAAATCCAAATCCACTTGAAACGAAAAATTTGGCATTTTTTTCAACAAACGTGGTGGAAGGTCAAACGAATTTCAATTTTGTGAACTTGGACTTTTATTTAGAATTAATTTACTTTCCTATATTTTGTATATTGTTTAACTTATTGAAACTTTTAATTTTACTTTGTAAATGAAGCTTGCATAAACAACGGTGTGAGTTTATAACAGTTTATTTATAACTTTAAAAATCTTCATTAAAGTAGTTTTATAAAATCAAAAAATTAAATACTAATGTAGGAACATGTAGAGGAGTGGTCATCAACACTGGGGACAGAACTGTCATGGGGAGGATCGCTGGGTTGGCCTCTGGATTGGAAAGTGGAGAAACTCCGATTGCGAAAGAAATTTCTCATTTCATACACATCATCACTGCTGTTTCCGTTTTCCTAGGAGTCACTTTTCTTATTATAGCACTTGTTCTTGGATACAACTGGTTGGATGCAGTCATATTTTTGATTGGTATCATTGTGGCGAATGTTCCTGAAGGTCTGCTGGCTACTGTT